ATGTAATGACGCAATAGTCGAAACGTTTCGGGAATTCAGTACTACATCACTGCCGAGTTGCGATCTTTTTGTTCTGGTACTTCAAGACAACGCATTTACATGTATCTTAGACAAAGATGGACTCAACATTATTATGGTTAAAGCGTTCAAAAAATCTGAACTAGAAAGTAACATCAACGACAGGCATTTTGGTAAAAAACGTGATGGACAGGATCGGGAACAACTGGGGGGGGTATTGAAATCATAGTTTAAAGAAACGCGAGGCGTTAAAAATATTCAAAAGGCGACAGCAGAGATGTCAAGCACCGATATTATGCCACAAAGAAGCATGTGGATGCTTATTATCCCTTCACAAGAGAATTCATTCAAAACGGGACGCTCAGAATTGGCAACGTTGTCATAAAGAAGCATTGTGCAGATATACCAACCAATTTATTTGCTACAAAACTGCATCAGCTTCTAGGCAAAACGACAGGTATTAACACTAAGCCAGAACCCAAGCGTACACAGGCGTAGCTGCGAGTGGGAAAACTTGGGAAAATGCTACTCAATACATGTACGGAACAAGTGATGGCGTCAAAAAATTACGGGTACATGTCATCAATACCGATTCGATCACGGATTGATGTTAGTCGTTCATGGAATCGGAGAAAAATGATTAAATTTGTTTGACTAGAGGTGACACATGGCTAGCGAGCTAAGGATCTAATTAAAAATTTTGGCAAACGTCTGCATCGCCGAGGCTGGCCCACAAACTGTAACACTGATGAGACGATGATATGCTTTGACACTTTGTTAGCATTAAATTCATGAGAAATATGGTCTTACTGACCACTGCTTCAAGCGCAGGAGTCACGTCTAAAAAGCAAATCCGGATAAAGAAAAAAGCGGGTTTGAGAGCGCTCGTTTTGCTTTTTGGTTCAGCGGAAGGCTCGCTTGCAATCAAGAGTGGGGTCACCGCAGAGGGCGCAGAGAAAACTTTTTAATGAATGACTTATGATTCTGATGTGATCAGTTCTGCAAAAGACACTACAACACGCGCTTGCAGACAGATAATGTCAGCGCGCTGAGCTAGGTTTGGCTCATTGGTAATAGGCTGGACGTCGTCGTGAGCTACGCGGCGAATTGTAAAATGCGTTCGGAGATGTGAAGCGTAGAGAACGCGTTATTGTCAGTGCAGGGTGACCTCCAACACTTCCGTGTCATTGGTCCTACTATAGATGAATCCTTTGAATTTTTTCACCCTACATTATTATCAAAGTTTGTTTTCCGCTGTCTAATGAAAACACGAAAGTGACCTCGACTTCCGCTAATGTGGACATACTGTCAGATTTACTAAAATATTCACAATCGTTCTAGCGTACTCTGGCATTGTCTACAGTTTTTCCAAATATTACTCGTGTAGTTCTTGGCATTCTTGACGCCCAATTATGTCACAGTCTAGCATACCCACCGATGCGCGCTACACGCAAAATTCCGTTATCATCGCGACTAAGGCCTTGCAATAACTGTGCCCATCTTCGTCAAGCTCATGCACGAGCTTGCTTCACTGTCCGACAGTCAAATTGAACACGATACGGTCCGAAACCGTGCTGCGCTGGCAGCGGCGATCGTCATTCCCAAGATCAAATTTCTCGCGCGACACTCCTGGCCGACCCGTGAGATCGTGACCTCAAAGCAGCAGCTGGTCAAGCGCTTTGTCTGGGGCTCGCGTGAAGGTGTACCAGAGAGGGCGTGGATGAACGACGCTCAAGCCGGACTTCCGATGTGCGACGGTGGACTCGCTGTACCGCACGTCGCGACGGACCTGCTTGCGATGGCAGCCAATGCAGTAGGCAGATGGGCAGCAAGAGCGAATGGTCCAGCATGACTTATGGACGACATCCTACCTGCCGAGCACGCGGGCGTAGACGTGTACTTGACTCCGGCACGGCGAGACGCGCCGGTTGGGGGCTTCAAGATCGCGACCACCATGTGGAAGGGTGGGGCGGCAGTGGTGTGCGGAGTGCACTGTGACCAAATCGACCCGACCAATGCCAGCTTTGTGGCAGCAACGGCGGCGCTGTTTCGGAGACACCTGCTTGCTGAGAAATGGGATGGCAACAGCTTGCAGATCGCCGTTGACGACGACGCGATGCTCTCGTTCGGCCGGCTGCCGTGTGGAAGGCGGCGGTTGCGCGGACCTTTCTGTCACGAGTGGCTTTACCGTGTGGCACTCGACACGCGGCGCTGGCTGATCGATGACAGGGGGGGGGCTGTGAATATCAGCATACTACGGCATGGCAACAAGTGGGGCATGCTTCGTGATCTCTTCAGCTGGACGTGGATGGAGCGCGGTGTGGTCAATTTCGAGCTGAGACGGCCCCGAACTCCTGCTGTGCGGCGGGCGGTTTTGAAGCTGTGCGAGGCGATGGTGTTTAACTACCCTGAGCTTCTGCACACGACGACGCACCTTTGGCCGGTCAGAACAGGCGTGTCGATGCACCACTCATGGCGCCTCACGAACAGCGCGGAGGGAGTCATTTTCTCGGACGCCACGATCGAGCGTCCGCCACAGAAGATCGCATCGCGTTTTGTCTGCGAACGACGAGCGCGAACGGATGTTGGCAATCGCGATATCCGCTTCCACGACCACTCGGCGCTCTCGCGGCTCGTGCAGCTGCACATGGGAGAAGGATGGCGGCCCAATAGGACACGGTACAAGTCAGCCGTAGCGCTGCACCGCGCGAAGGAGGGCAAGGAGGAGCGCGACCGAGCAATCGCTGTGCTCGCCGAGAAGAACAGCGACCTTCAGCGGGCTACGTCACAGCTGAAGTGGAGCAGGTGCGAACGCCGCCCTGGGGCAGAATCTGTACCGCATCAGGGTGAACAACCTCAACTTGTGGAACTACGTACACAGCGATCGGACGTGCCCGCACAGCATGTGTCGGCGCGACCAGCCCGCGACGATACAGCATGTCTTCTGGGAGTGCCCGGTTGCTGAAGCCGCATGGGTAGACTTCGCTACCCGATGGCGGCGACTCGGCGACAACTTGACGGAAAACCTCATGGAGTCGTGACTCAGTCTGGACATGCCGGACACGCCGACACGAGCGTGGCAAGCAGTCTGCGAGTGGCTCGATGCAGCCGGTGACGAACACCGTGACGTCTTGTTCGATGTCTCCGGCAGGCTCTGGCGACTGACAGCGGCGACGACTATCCACACCATCTGGTGTGCGCGACTCCGGCTTCGACACGAGCTGACAGCTGACCCGCTGACGCTCCGAGCAATGGTCAACGCCACCGTCGACACGCGCTATGTGACATGGTACTGCTGACGTACAAGCTTGACACGGACGAACACGCTGCTCCGAAGCGAGCCGTGATGAGTGCGCTGGCGGCGCAGCTATCAGAGCCAACAGTGGAGCACGCTCAATCGCAGCCGATCGCCAGTCGGAGCGTGCATCTGCTCTTCTTTGACGGCGGCTCAAGAGGCAACCGAGGACCAGGCGGGCCCGGGTCTGTGGTCGACACGGACACGAATGCAGCAGAGATCGTGTGGGCAGCAAGCATATCGTAAGCTCAGGCCGACACGACCAACAACACGACAGAGTACTGGGGGATCATCCACGGGCTTCGTCGTGCTGAGGTCGACCAACTGAAGCCGTTGCATGTTGTGGGAGACAGCGCGATGGTCTTCCATCAGATGCGTCGGCACCGACCACCGCGGCAACACCGACTCAGACAGCTTTACCTGAAGGCAAGGCGGTGTGCAATCGGTTTGGGCGTCCGCACTTGGTCGCACCACAACCACAATCACAATAAGATGGCGAACAAGGCTGCAAACTTCGCAATGGACGCACGCGCGTCGCAGCAGACATATATCATGAACTCGTCTACTCGTCGCGGAACTGACCCAACACCTGCATAACGACATGCAGCAATGGCTCTGCTCTGTAGCAGCTCGAGACCAGAGCGCGACCCTGACCCATGCACCTCGCTCGGCGTACCCGCCTCGAGGGCAGGATAATCCCCCCCCTTTTTGTTTAGTGGCGCAAGCTGCCAACCTAGCCATTAGAGATCTGTAAAGTACCTCAATGAAGCTCACTCACTCACTCACTTGTCTCGCCATGCATTCGCAGCGAGCAAATTGTGAACAAGATTCAAATGAACTAGTTCCTTTTATTTGTACATGAGATCCTGAAGGCATTTGCTATCGCGAATAGTACCTGCCTGACCTTGAGTTAGCATATTCATCGCGAGAAAAGTGTCTTACACTATCGATGTCTATCGTTTCTTTAGCCTCACAGGGAGATTAATTCGTATTGCAATTAGTAAAGCGCAATCAAGTTGCTGGCCGTAACTTCGCTGTAAGATCAAAAAGAATGGAGAAGTCAGCAGAATGTGCAGCACAGTAAATGTTACTTTTATTATCTGACTAGACAAATTACATGTTGTTTTACAATTGCACACGTGATAAACTTAATCAGTATTCTTGAATGCAAACGATCGTTTAAATTTTTGTTCCCCGGGCGCACGGAGTTGTTCATTCGATCGTTTAAGTTTGGTCGCACGGAGTTGTGTCACAAGATTCTTTACCCCGTTGTCGAAATATCCACGTTTAATTCTGAGCAAAATGTTTCCTTAATCCTGGAGCATCTTCATGGTTTTTTGGAACTCTTGTTTTTGATAATTTGTTCAAGAAAAAACTTCACATTGGATCAATCGGGCGATTCTTTCCGGCAAATCCAAGTCTATTGGATCAAGTTCTTTCGATCTCTGTCGAGAATTAAAAGTCAAGCAAGACGTTAAGCTTAGTGATAGTGAGTCAGTGAAACTGCTTTACTTATCAAGCGGGAACACCTTGTTTTGTTTAGTTGGACAAGTCGGAAGGAGAGTTATCATCTTTAAGCATCAATCGAGTTTTCGCAGTAAGCATCTTCGGTGTTGTCTATTTGAACATTTTGCAAGTTTATCTAGTAGGATATAAAAGGTGATGCGGGCTCATTAATAGCAACGCAGAGATATTACGTGAGCTTACAGCATTCGCGATTCAACTTGCCAAGCGCACTTTTATGAGGTTGAGTTGTAAAAGCGCGGTATTTTCTGCGTCGCCAGGTTAGAACAATCAACAGATTACCAAGCGCAATTATTGTTACTCACTAACTTTATTACAGATTTTAC